ATTATCCAAAATATAGCATTGGCACAGGCTCTTATTTCCCTCAATAAAGAAGTATACAAATTCAGGATTGGCTTCGATTGTAGTCCCACAGCACAAAAAAAAAATTAAATTTAAATCACTTCGTATTCGAATTGTACGAATTTTACCCTCAGAATTATTTTTGATTCTTGTAATAAACAACCTAAAAAATAATTAAAAGTGATTTTTCGCCGATATTGCATTTGGTTTTCTTGATATTGGACTTTTATTTTTCAGAAATAAGGTGCTGTATGAATGAAAGGATGTAGTAACATCAAGTTTTGTCCATACCCTATTAAGGGTAGCTGCATTAAAATGTGCACAGAAAATTGTTCTATGGTCCTGGAAAAAAATTCGGGGCTTAGAGGGTTAAAACAAGTTTCAACCGAATTTAGTGAAGTCTTAAAGAAAAGTTTCAGAAGAATATACTAGAGTCCCGACTTGCGTCGCTTTTCAAAAGCCAGAAAATTCGATTTACGTCGTTGCAATTTTAAGTTGCGTCGGTCCGAGCTACATTGTGGACTACTATTTTTTTGGATTTTTAGTGCCTGATTTGGTATATTTTCTGCCGTTTAGCATTTTTACAACTTCTGGCAACACTGATCGTCACCTGTACGTTAATAAAATTTGCTTTGTTTTGAATAATTTCCCCAGTAAATTAAATTTCAGTGGATTTTGTATATTTATAGAAAAAGGTGATCCGATTTGCGTCGCGATTCTCCGGTTCCCATTAACGACGCAAGTCGGGAAGTTTCGGAAGAATTTATGGACTATTTTGAAGGATTTATGCGTTTTTAAAGAAAAGTTTCAGATAATTATGAAGAGAAGTTTCAGAAGAGTTTATGGACCTATCAGGAGTGCAGTTTTAATGATAAGTTTCAGACAAATTTATGGGCCATTAAAAAAGTATCGGAGAAATTTATGGACTAATCAGGAGCGGATTTTTAAAAAAAGGTTTGTGAGAAATTTATGGCCCCTTTAGTATTGGATTTTTAATGGAAAGTTTCAGAAGGACCTATCCGTAGTGGATTAAAAATATCACAAGATTTTATGGACCTATCAAGAGTGGATTTTTATAGTATAAAGATAATTTATGGACCTATCAGAAGTCGTTTTTAAAGCATAAGTTTTAGACAAATTTTATGATTCTATAAGGAGTGATTTTTTAAAGAAAGGAGTAGAAGGAATAGATTTCTAAAGAAAGGTTTTAGAAGAACTTAAATTTTACATGATTTCAATCACACTTGAACTAATAGGACCAAACATGGACCAATATTGACAATATCCTTCATTCCTCCATCAACCTCGAATGGCTAATTTCAACCATGTCATTGAAAAATTTAGATGAAACCTTTAAACAACGGAACTGTTGTTTGCCTCTACCAAACAGTTGGAATCTCATTTCCAATGCCAAACATCGTAGGAGTAATTATAGTGAACTTGAACAGCTTTAACGTACCTATATGAAGTACATTGAGCTATTAACATTTTTCCTATATCATCCAAACTTTATTTTCATGTCGCAACAACAAAACTCTTTGTAATCGTTCTTACAACACAACATAAACACTTCAAATAATTTTTCATGTGTTTGCTGGTTCTATTTACATATGTATCTGTGGCTATGTCGTCATTGCGATGTCCACTACCTTTAAAGTCATTTTCTACTTCAGTGACAAGTGAAACATTGTGGGAAATACCATACTAGTAGTAGACTCCAACTGTTGGGTTACTGTTCGACGTTTAACTTTCGCTTTTTATACCCTTCACCACACTGTGGTACAGGGTATTATGTCTTTGTGCATATGTTTGTAACAGGCAAAAATAATCGAGATAGACCCATGGTTCCTTTTGAGAATATACATAGAATCACTTTCTAAGTCGATTTATGCATGTCCGTCCGTCTGTCCGTCCGTCCGTCTGTCCATGTTAAATTGTAAACAAAGTACAGGACGCATTTATGATCCGAATTGGATGAAATTTGGCATAGGTCACTTATTCGGCCCAAGGACGAACCCTATTGAAATTGGGAAAAATCGGTTCAGATTTAGATATAGCTCCCATATATATATTTAACCGATTTAATGTAAACGGTCCCTATATATCTTTTGATTTGCACGAAATTTGGTACAGCCTAATCACTTAGGTCTAGAATGATGTCTGCCAAGTTTCGAGAAAATTGGTTCAGATTTAGATATAGCTCTCATATATAGTTTCGTCCGATTTCATGTAAATGGTGCCCCAAAGTCCCTATATATCTTTCGATTTGCACGAAATTTGGCATAACGTACTGAATAGAGCCTAGAATGATGTCTGCCAAGTTTCGTGAAAATCGGTCCAGATTTAGATAGACATAGCCTTTTTTATTATAGATTGATTTTAAATAATTGACGCACCATATATATTTTTGCCCGATTTCAAGTAAATTGGGTATCAAACGCCTCATGTTAGTCAGATTGATATCAAAGTTTGCACATCGTACAAAATTAAGCATAAAATTATATAGTTGCGTTTTCTAGAAGTACAGACATAGCCCAACGGATGACCTATTTATATTTGTTTGAAGTCGATTTACATATTTTATGGATAGATCTAGGTAGATTCACATTTAGATAAATATCACATATTTTATTTCATCCAATTTCATGCTAATAGTCCTCTTTAATATACCCATAGTGGTGAAGGGTATCATATAGTCGGCCCCGTCCGACTTTACTACTTTCCTTACTGGTCTTTTTTGTTGTCGTTGAAACTAATTTTCGTGCCTTTGACTTTGTATTGCTGTCGGAGTGTGCGTGTGTACATGAATACCATGACAATTATTATGTAAATTTTACGATTTGTTTTCATTTTGTCTATTTTCATTCTTCTTCCGTGGAAACCAATGTATTGAACTCATCATGACTGCGAGTTTGTAGTCTGGCAGAAATGAATGAATTTTCAGTAACATATGTATGTTTTTTATAGCATATGCCATCATTGTTTTATGTAGTGTCGTTTTTTTAGTTGTCATGAAATCCTGGGCAATATAGAACAATATCAAATTAAATTTGGTTTTTTATTTTATTTTCAACTCACAATACATAACTTTAGCTTATATAAGAATAAAAACATTATCAAATTTAATATTGTCTTGCAAAATTATTAAATATAAATTCTTCCCTTTTATGTTATTAACATTTGTCTATCAAGAGCCTTTGACAATAAATTTTCAAAACCCACGTCTCTACTACTTGTTATTGGATTTTTGTTTTTATTAAACAATGTCATAAAATTCTACTCGTGCCATGAACTTGATACCAATTGCCGGACAATAAATATCAGACAATGACAATCTCTTTGAACATAGTTGTGCTGCAGTTTATGTCGAATTGTTTGTTTCTTGTTTTCATTATTATTTCTATTTTGGAATTATAACAATGAAGAATGTAATTGGGCACAAAAATAAACCGAACCAAAATAAAACGTTGCGCGTGACCAACAGACCGTAGAAATTTTAAAACAAAACAGCAATTGGAAATTACTTTTGTCCAGTTGAAATGAAATGTATTTTTCTTGAATGTGTTTTTTTTTGTCTTCTAATTTTCGTTTCTTTATTTTAAATGAAAGTAGAAACGGATTTAATATACGACATACTGCGATCGCTACACTTTTTGGAAATCTTTATATTTAGGGTATACCTTCTGAAACCTTTTCTCCCATCCGCAATGGTCCTATAGATATCACTATATTTCAAATATTTGCATTTGAAATTAACTGCTGTTGATAGCTTCATTCTCGGTTTCAAAAAATTTAATTTTGTATTTTGCTTTAATTCGAATCTACACTAATTCAAGAATATCCCTATGAAATTTCAAGTGAAAATCCCTTAAGACATTTTAAAGAATCTACACACATAGAAAAAATGACAGTATCCGTGTACAAAATGAGCACATATGGTGTCAATAGTGTAGCAATACGGTTTGTGGTCAACTTAACAACGGTTTCGAACACGAAAGTGTTCAAATTGACTCCATCTGTGTTTTTTATACTCCAACCTCCGAAATGTTACCTGTGCCGCTAAGAGATTGACAAAAACAATAAATATAACATATTTGAATTCGTAGTAAATCTAAGTTACTAACCTTTGAAGTATTTATAAATTCAATGCATTCGTTTGGCACGTGTAGTCGCTGATTTGAACACATATGAATACAATTTTACAACATTCGTTGTCATATTCTCAAATTTGACAACATTCGTTGTCATATTCTCAAATTTGACAACGTCCGTTGTCACATTCTAAAACATGACCACGTTTAGTGGTCAAATTCAAAAAATTGTAAACGCCTGTTGAAAAATGGAAAACAAGCGTTGTCAAAACTGAAATGACAACTCATTTCTCCTCAGTCTAGTCGAATTTCTAAATTTGATTTATTTGGTATTTCTCTAAACGTAATAATAATCTAAGCCGGTTTATTTTCAAATTTCATCGAAACGAGTAAAAAGTGTCAGTGGGTGTTACCGATAGATATATACCCTAAGCCTATCATTCGGGGAGATTTTTGAAAATCAAGTATGCCAACTGTAGCGTGACATTTCTACATTTATCATTTGAAAAAAAAAAAACAGAAAACCCAGATTTTTTAGCTATTCGGAAAATTGTCTCACTCGAATGGAAATTATAATGATAATTTTCTCTTCTGCAGACGAAGAAAATTGAATGTGGTCAAAGGGATGGGCGGTCATGGTACATGCCTATTTTCATTTTGTTTTTTTTTTCTAACGCTATGCGAAAAATCGAAAAGAAATTTTATATAAATTAGAAATATTTTCAAATGATTGAATTAGTTGACAATTAGTAAAAGAACGTGGTGCAGTAAACGTCATCAATCACAGTGTACGTACTCTGATTGCTGGTTATCCGGTTGAAGACGAAGAAGAAGAAGAAAACGGCGAAAATGTTACAAAAATTTCTGTTTTTTTATTTAAAAATTCATCTCATGATCCTGTTGTGTCAGGCCGCCCTGCCGACAGATACCGAGCATCCTAACAATGCAGATGATTGTTCGAATAATTCCCTAGAAACGGTGCTATGGTGTCGTGGTTCGAAAGCTTTACAAAATGCCTTAAATAATTTAAGTAAAACAAATAAACCCGTTGTCATTATACGTGGACTAGAATTGGTACCGTCGACAAATATCACCTCCGACGATGGCAACAATCAGGTGACGGCAAATTTGACAGATAATACTGTCGATAATGATGGTGACACCGATGACACCTTCCTGGGACGTTTTTCCCGTTACCTGCGAACGCATGAGTTGAATATAAAATTTTCGGATTTATTGGCGGATGTCAGCGAACGTCATTACATGGCACGTGATCTGGATCAGAGTGGAATTCAAATGGATTCAATGAGCGGAGAAGGTAAGTTGAGGTTAGACACGCGACTATTTAATATTAACAACGACGCATACGTTACTGTCATGTCAAAATGTTGTTTTTTCGGTAATTATATTTGTTGATAGTCTAGCGTGTGTAGTTAATTATACGAGGTGCGAAAGGAAAGTGTTTGTATGCAGCAAATTTATGAGGTATGGAATAATGCATAGGCAGTAATTTAAATTTTATATACAACTTAGAAAAAATATTCATATCATACATATGAATTATCTATACCATACTATGAATGATAACGTGATATAATTTTGTTTACCATTATAAAGCTATATAGCAATCTTTCTCACCTTCAGAAGGAATACTTTACAACATTCTGAAATGTACAACATTCCTGAAAACATGAAAAAACGTTTGATTGTGCAGAACTTTTAATCCTCCACCAAGGGGTACCTATTCAAAATACCTATATTTATGTGGCTATATTATTGTATACAAACGGATTCATTTATCGTTTTATCCTCCCAAGTGGACCTTATACTCCGAAAACTAAAAATACCTCCTTACATGATAAGACCTCCAGCATGCCGAACAATATTAGAACAATATTATTACCTATATATGGATGCTATCAATTGATTGCTATTTTATCCTACCAAGTAGTCATTTATGCTCCGAAAACCCCAATAGCCTTATTATAGCCAGTTATGAGGATCGATCACTCAAGATGCATAAAATGATCTGTATCATTATGTGGGTAATATTTTTTGAACTTAACCCGGAATACCAATTTACAGACACTAATGTTGTAAAACTCGACTGATACATCCAGTATGACGAACTTGGGGCGGAACCCAAAATATCAAATTAGTATCCAACAGACGGACGGGCATTGCTAAATCGACTCAAAAATGTATTATATGGATATTCTCAAAAGGAACCATAGGTCTATCTCGATTCCTTTAGCCTGTTACAAACATATGCACAAATACATAATAGCCTGCACAGTGTGGTGAAGGGTATTAGAATTTTAGTACCTATTATAAACGCTGGAGTAGTAAAATTCCGAAAATGGAACGGGACCTATAAATGAAGGCTATGTAAAAATATTGGCCAATATTTAATGGCCTCCTATTTTGTATCCACAAAGTGGAACATTATCCTCCGAAAATCCGAAATGTATTCCTAAATGCTAAGACCTTCAGTATACTGAACATGGGGCTGGACATTCATGTGAGGGCTATGTCAATGTAGGGACCTTTATTGAACATTTTCTGTGAAGTAGTTCGGCTAAGATCTCCAGCATACCGAAAATGGTGGACCTATATATGGAGGCTATGTCAAAATATTGACCAATATTTAATGGTCTTCTATTCTTTTATCCTACCAAGTGGTCCTTATCCTCTGAAAACCAGAAAAGGCTCCTTATATGCTAAGACTTTCTGTAATATTGACCAATATTTAATTGTCTCGTAATCTTGTATCCTACCAAGTGGTACTTTATCCTCCAAAAACTTGAAACGTCGCATTTTATGCTAAGTCCTTCAGTATACTGAACGTGGGGCTGGACATTCATATGGGGGCTACGTCACTATAGGCACCATTATAGAAAATTTCTGTGAAGTAGTTATTTATCCCTCAAGAATTTGAAGTACCAAATGCGCCTAGGATTATGAAAATGCCTCAAATGAACCGACAACTTTATATGGGGACGAGGCAAAAAACATGGTCCGATTCCCATTACAAGCACGAAATGCCAAATTACAGACACTTCGGTTGGAAAATGAAGACTATGAAAATAATTATTATGGGACGGAACATTTATGTGGGAGTTATTTCAAAACGTTGATCTACATTGAACATTTTCCGCAAATTCTCCAATGCCACATTACATCTCGCACTGTTCGGGGTGCTCAAACTTCGGATCTCTATATTGCCCAAAAGTACTTATATTTAACTTTATTATTTTTTCGCCACCAAGAACCCGGATTGGCATATTAAAGTCGACAATGAGCTTAGGATCAAGAATGTACCTAAAATGAAGAGGGACAAAACATGGACTTTTTCTGGCAAATTTGCGAAAAGGTTTTTACCCACGACGAAACATGCCGGGTCAAATTACAGACCCTTCGGCTGAAAACGAGCCAAAGACAATCGAGCTCTTTCAAAACATAGACCTTCAACATTTTTATTAGATAAAAATTTTACACTCCATGAAATCGTAATGGACATATTAAGACTCTCCTGCAAATTTCTCCTTTACCCACCAAAGATTCGGAATGTCAAATTATAGCCTCAGGATATAACAAAGCATAGACCGATTATCATATTTTCAATACAAAAGTCCAGCAAGCGTTACTTCAACAAACAGACATGAGAAAATCGACTCAGCATTTTATTCTGATAAAGAATTTCGAATCTCAAAACCTATTTCGAATGATGGCAGTTTCGGGATTGCCAGGATTTTTTAAACAAGAGCAATTTTCTTATTTGATCCTCGAACTAACTTTTCAAATTACCCTCGTCGCTTGCACATAGCCAACAACCATGAGCATAAACAAAGTTTTGCTACGCATTAATATTTAATCCAAAACAATTGACTTGTTTTAATTATTCGTGAACACACACATATGCACATATCTCCGACATATGTATGTTTGTATAATACTGGGCAACAGGTCGTTGGACGACTTTTTGCGTTTTGCAGATGGTTCGACGATGAAGAAAATAAAAAAAACTACTGTCATTATTGTACTACTGGAATATTGGCATAAATTGCTAGGTTGTGGGAATAATTGGCTTAATTTAGATGACAGTCACGCACAATGAAATACAAACATGTTTACAACTTCCGTGCCGCTGCAAGCAAATCAATTAATCATGTCGTGTGAATCAAATCAAATTGCAATAAAAGTAAAATATGAAGCCAAAAAACAAAATTAATTGATCAAATTATAAATATATATTGTATATGCGTGTATGCATGTAATACATAGATTTCGTAATTTCCAATAAAACCTGTTATAATTTGTCGTATATGTAGTTTGGTAATTTCCAAATCTGAAAGAGAAAATTTGAAACTAATAATTAATTACAATGTGATTTTTCAAGTGATTGTTCATCTGACTCAGTGGCGTGGATTTTTTAAATAATATTTTTCAGGGGATTTTTCAAGGGACTATTAAGCCGTGGATTTTTTAAAGAATATGTTTTTCCAAAGGACTATAAGGCGTGGATTTAAAAAATATGTAATTTTTAAAGAATACATTTTTCAAGGGACTATTAAAGTGTGGATTTTTTAATGAATATTTTTTAGGGGCCTATCAAAAAGTGAGTTTTTAGGGAATATTTTTTTCAATGGACTATTAAGGATAGCATTTTTAAAGATTTAGTTCTAATGGGGCTAATTAAGGATTGCCTTTTTAAAGAATTAGTTCTAAGGGAAGAACATCTTATATAAGGAATATTTATTGTATTTCAAGGGACTATTAAAGTGTGGATTTTTTAATGAATTTTTTTTTAGGGGCCTATCAAAAAGTGAGTTTTTAGGAATATTTTTTTCAATGGACTATTAAGGATAGCATTTTTAAAGATTTAGTTCTAATGGGGCTAATTAAGGATTGCCTTTTTAAAGAATTAGTTCTAAGGGAAGAACATCTTATATAAGGAATATTTATTGTATTTTATATACCACCGTTGTTGTATATATTTTTCTTAGTATAAAATCTTTTAAATTTTCTGCATTATATTTTAAATTCATATTTTTCCTTTTTTCATTTCATCTAAATCCACAAAAAAAATATGTTCATACAGCTCGTAAAAAGGATAAGGGTGGCGGTGCTATGATGTTAATGGCTCTTATGTTCTCAAAAATGATGGCTGTCATGGGACTCGGCGGTCTCGGTGCCTTAGCAATGAAGGCCATGGGTGTATCTATGATGGCTTTAATGATGGCTGCACTTGTTGGAGTAAAGTCACTAGCATCTCAAGGACACGAATCCTCTCACAGTGTACAATACGTCACAGCAGATGGTCATCATCACAAGAGACGCCGAAGACGACGCAGTGTTGCCGCAGACGACAATAGTAAATATCGTTTTGGGTCAGAAGACTTGTTGCAAGACAATGCCAAATCAGCATTGCCATTGGCATATAGAGGTTGGTCGTCGGTCACACACAGTAACTGACAGAAAAGTGAACAAAAAATTTTAAGATAACAAATGAATTAAAAATAACTTCTAGACATTTAGTAATCGTATTTATTTAAATATATATTTATTTATTTTTTGTTTGTACATGGTGTATAAGTTATATAATAAATAAAGAAGGAAAAGTTATAATTGAAATATGGCTACATTGTGGAGTACTATATATGACTATGGTAAACAAATTTTAAGAAAATGCTGAACTGAATTAAAAACATATCTGAATCAATTAGGAGATGTTTAGTATTCTTGATAAATTCAGAACTATTTATTACAAATGTCCCTCGGAACTACAAAAATAGGGAAAAACGAGACTTTACGTATAGTGTAGGAAACCTTACGTAACATCCGTAAACTTTTTAGATTACAATCTCAAATTTTGATAATTTGAAGGTGCATGTCGGAGTACCCATTCGAGATGGCTATACTATAATATTTCGGGTCATTGGAGAAGCAGGCCAAAATTGTCAATGAAACAAAATCGAAGCCGTAGTCAGTGGGGTTGGAAAATTATTTTTAGGGATATGAGTTTATCGTCATAGGTCAAAGTTGGGAGTTATTTTTTTCTCTTCCCACCTAAAATCTAATGAGCTATATTTGTGTAGAATGCTTCGAGGATTAAAAATCGCATCTTGGGATAATTGGGGTCCGGTTCAAAAAATTAAAGGCGAAAAAGGTGCAAAAAGAATCGAGTTAGAAGGACGAAATGTTGTACAAACAATTTTATTCGATTTTACTGCAGACATGTAATCTGAAACCAGTAAGGAAAGATCTAAAGTCGGACCACGTTGGGTACATACAAGAGATCCTCATATGTACAGTGTCCTTTAGATAGAATAGACATATCATCTTTGGAGGACCATTAAAATGGAATATAACGAAATTAACTGCGTGAAGTTGTCGATATGTGAACTAAATTAAAACAGCCCATACAGATACAATCTGAAATCTAAGAAAATTTTAATGTCAATCATCGAGCAAAACATGTATAAGATCTATATAAAAATGGACGTATTTGAGCAACCGTGGCATCCACCATTTGGTATGATGCAACACTATGCGTTATCCAAAATTTATCTCGACACAAAATCTAATATTGTGGGTTCGAGTTGGTCCGTTGTGCACTAATTGGTCCTAAGCGGACAAACTTTAGTTATTTGGTACATCATTTTGATGAAATCGGATGAAAAATATATGGAAGCTATATTTAAACTTGAATCCTTTTCAATCCAATACGCCATGCAATATTTCATGTAAAGCGAACAGACATAGGCTCCTCCATTTGCACCATTTCATAAAATCAGACTAAAGAATATATATGAGCTATATTAAAATCTGAACAAATTTCAAACATAACCAAATCATTTTGGACTAAATTCAATACACGCTCCAAAATTTCATGAATAAAGAACAAAAATAGATTCCTCGGTTCGCCATTTTCATAAAATTGGACAAAAAAATATATATGAAGCTATATCTAAATCTGAACCGATTTCAAAAAAAAAAAACATCCCATACATCAATCTGTGCAAAATTTTATTTCAATATTGGAAATTTGGTGCACCATTTACATAAAATCTGACTAAACTATATATGGGAGCTATGTACAAATCTGAACCGATTTCAATCAACCTTGGCACACATCAATCCAGACCTAATTCAATACTCTGTGCAAAATTTTGTTTCAATCGGACCAATATTGGGAGTTTGGTGCACCATTTACCTAAAATCGGACGAAACTATATATGGGGGCTATATCTAAATCTGAACCTATTTTCTCCAATTTCAATAGGGTTCTATTGTACCCATTGAGGACCCAAAATTAAAAACCAAAACCACTTTAATTGAAAAACGTGCCTAAACACCGCATAATAGCGAAATTAGGGATGCGCCCTTATATACCTACCCTTAAAAGTGCGCCAATAGTAATCAGTTTTTTATACCCTTAGCCTCTGGTACCACCCACACAAAATGGTCAAAATTATTCAAACAAAAATAATTTTATACTATCATGAGAAGGGACTATCAGATTTGAACCGAACTTTGTACAGCCTATTATCTTTACCATGCCTGATAACGATTTCGAGATGTTGCAAATGGAATAAAAATTGCAATATAATTTCACATTATGGTGGATTACCCACTTACTTAAAAAAATACAAAAATTCTAATTTCACCATGAAAATCTCGTTTTGAGTTAATATTCAATTTAATTTAATTTAAGATTATATTCAATGGCATTATAACTTAGAAAACCTTTTTTCTTAAAAAAGTTTTTTTTCCATTTCCTATTAATTTATATAACCTCAGAAATTGCAATGTGAATTTGAACTCAATGTCAATCAGTATATTAGTACTTCGAATTTGTTTATAAAGTTCTTCAAACAAAAGTTATATTGATGAAATTGATTTCATTTCCTATACGAGCTGTCGCCTTCAACTGCCAACTAAAAATGCTGCAATACTTTCGTAATATTTATTTGTGGAAGTTCACAAACCAGAAAATGTCATATTTTGTGGGTATTGAAAATTTGTAAGAAAGAAACTGGTTCGCCACAACTTGAAATTGAGTTTTGTTTACTGAGACATTTTTTTTTTGTTGTTTTTGGTTCGAATGATTGGGATGCTGATAAAGTTGCAGATACAGTAACAGATGCTGTTTTGATGTGTGTGTGAGCGTGTAACTGAACTAAAGTTTGGTCATATAAATATTTTTAGTTAAAGTTTGGTTTGTTTTTCTTCATGTGTGCGTTTTTTTCGGTTCGGTTTGGTATCACAAATCGGTGAAAGTTGGTTTCGGTCCATTTCATTTGACAAAGTTGACCACAATTCTGTTCTTCTGTGGGATGTATAAATTTCATTAGGGAGGATTTTTGTTTTGGTATGTATGGCGATGACCATACATACGCAAAACTGTGCCTCTTTCATGTTCACGTATTTATGTAGAGGTAAGGATTTCTAAAACCTGTGTTTATCTTTAGTTTTTTTTTTCGAATATTTTCAAGTTGTTGTACAACTTTTGAGGGAGAAACAAGGTTTTGGTTGGCGGTTGTGTCACCAACAAACCAGATTAACTTACAAGAATCCGAACAAGAAATTTATATTGAATGGAATTTCATTTTGGCAGTTGAGGTCACTACATTGACTCCTTCTCTTTTCATCTCTTTCTTGCTCGCCCTCCGTTTCTTCGGTCTACAGGCTTATTGTCTCCACCATCTCATCTCATCGCCAGTTTCATTCACTTTTGTTTTCTTTCATCATCGAAAGCAGCCGAAATACAAACAACAAAAACAAATCATATTAAATTTCTTATAAACCGATTAAATATTATGCACTTTCACTGTTTTCTTTTGTACACAAAATATCATAATTTACTCTACAAAAACGCTACACAGTCATAAATACATACAAACGAATGTATGTATATACAAACAATCTTAAACTGAATGGTTTTTAAACGCCAACAAATGAAGATCATTATGATAATGATGTTGATGGTGGTTGGAGTCTTTAGAGCTTCGGCGACAATGGTACTAGATGGATGGTAGACAGTGTTGCCGTTTAGAATTTAGTAGTTCTTTCGCAGACGGATATGACTAAAAACCAGTTAGGAAAGGACCAAAGTTGGAATATGGCACCATATACCACTTTGGTTATATACAAAACATGCTCTAAGCGATTTAAACAATGTACCGATTATAATAATAAATTGTACTTAGGTTAGTACTATGAACATATTTTGAAATCTGTACCAAAATGTCAAAATTCAAGATTTTAGCGAACCGCAAAGTCCAAGATTCTTGTTTCATTTATTCACCAAATACTAAATGCAACCATTTACTAACATTTAGAACATTTTGTATAATTATAATAAATTACATAAATTAAAAGTTTGTACCATTCAGTACTGATGTTAGCAGCGTATTCCGTACACATTAAGTACGAAATTTCACAAAACCCTTCACTACATCTTCTCTACACTCCATCACTGCCCGTCACTCAAATTTCTAAGTTCTAGGCTATCTGTTACAATTCTTGGTACTTTTTATCATATCATAATGCCATCGATAAACAAATAATCGATCATTAATTTGATCCAAAACGGTCCGAACTGAAAATCGATTAACAATTAGTTATGCTCCCATCGTCCGGGGACGAGAAGGGGACGTCTTTCAACACAATTGTCTGTAATTTTAAATTTTAGATTCTGATTTAGTAGAAAAACTTCCTACCAAAAATTATGTATATTGGCCCAAGGTCAAGAGCAGCCAACAAATAATGTTAACACCCCATTAATAGGTATTTTGAGGGTTTTTTTGATACGTTCTTGAACCGAAGTTCAATTTTGAGGTTTGGTATAGCTCCTATGCATATGTGCAGAAAAAATCAATATAGATCCATGTTTTGACAATCCCCCATATAAAGGTTACGCGCCATTATCAATATTTTAAAGTCGAATTTTCCCATAGTATAGACTGTCATTTGGTATTCTGAGATATATATTTTTTTATCTAATAGACCTATCGTTCCATTTAGGAATATGCATAGAATTACTTTCTGAGTCGATTTATGTATGTTTGTCTGTCCATATATCCTTGTGAGCAAAGTTCAGCTCGCATTTATGATACGAATTGGACGAAATTTGGCATAGGTCACCAAACTCCCAAGGTTGGTCCGATTGAGACAACATTTTGCACAGAGAATTGTAATTTATGGCGTATGTGGAGTTATGGTGAAATCGGTTCAGATCTAGACATATATATTTTCGTCCGATTCTATGTGAATGGTGCACTAAATTCCCAATATTTGTCCGATTGAGACAAAATTTTGCACAGCGTACTAAATTATGTCCAGATTGACATATATGTAGTTTTGTTGGAATGGATTCAGATAGTGCTCCCATATATATTTTCTTCCGATTTTATGTAATTGGAAATACTACAGGTTGACGTC